CTAAGGATCAGGATCTCTGTTCATGGAGCCTCCAAAGACCTTGATTTTACGCCACAACATAATGAACAATACTTATAAGTAATATTTTGGGGGTGCTTATTTTGTGCCAAGAATGAATCTAAGAGCTTCCCGTGTATTAACTCATTTAATCCTCACAGCTCCATCCCTGTGAGGTCAGTTTCCCACCCCTGTGAAGCAAGCTTCCGAGGCACTTCCAGGTGACTTCTATGCACTGATCTGGGGGAGGGGCTGGTTACCCCCTGTTTAGTGAGGTGGGGAGGTCTGATGCACTGAGCCTCCCAGTTAGACAGTGTCTTCATACTGTCAGGACCGAGTGCCCATGAGCAGCTTGATCAATGCTGGCCCTGGCTGTGGGGGGGGGGAGTAGGTAACCCCTCAACAACTCCAAGCCTGGCATCTTCCTCAGCTGGATGGGCAACACCTCCTTGCAGATGAGGCCATGTTTAGCGAGACCTCAATGGGGAGAGGGCACAAGACAGGGAGGGAGATCGCTCTGGGCCCCAGTTTCCCCAAGTGACCTGGGATGGGACGTGGCCAGAGACTCCCTAAGGCCTCGCTCACCTCCTGGATCCCATGAAATGGCTATTGGCTATGCAGAGATTCATCAGTTAACAAGAGGGATTGCCTGGAACAAGGTGGGCCTGAAAGATGGGTGTGAAGGTGGGGCTGGGTCAGGTGGCATGTGTGGTTTGGCATGACCTATAGGGAAGAGAGAATGAAGAGAATGGTGGGGCTTTAGGCCAAATCTCCCTTCTGTCTCCACTCACAAGATAAAAAAGCTGCCAAAGGCCCTTGGAAGTCTTTGCAGGAAGGGAAACTGAGTTTTGGAGAATTAGCCTAAACTTATACTCGAGTTTAGTATTAAGGCCAGAGCAGCACATTTATCCCCCAGGCTCTTTCCAAAAGCTTTGCTCTGTGGCATTGAAATAAGAAGGCGTCTCCTCACAGGGAAACTCGTGTTTAGGGAATGTGAATGATGGTATTACACCCAAAACATCCCAACCAACCAACCAACCAACCAACCAAGCCCAGGGCTTTGAGCCTAATAATGTGTTTGCTCATGAATCACAGGCTTTTCTTGCTAAAGAGACCCACAGCCAGAGCGCCTGGTCCATGAGCTTCTTCTCCCGGGGAGGGACCGCGTCGGAGTGTCCAGGTGAGCTGTCCGTCTGCTCAGCTCACTGAATTCCCCAGTCAGCAACAGATGCCAGGCCACGCCCCCTCTCAGAACAGGGGCTGGACGAGTCGCTGCAGTGACTGAGGACTCACTCTGCTGCCTTGGGGAGGAGGGTGTAATTAAGGCAGCTTTGTGGGTCTTTAACTGGCATTTGTCATGGCTCCCAAACAGCACTGGGCAGCGTGGGCTATTAGACTGCTGTGTGCCGGGCACCTGAGAGTTGCAGTCTACCGCTTATGCCTGTAGCATTTGCTAAAAGTCCCAGGGCCTGGTTGGCTTTCCAGCCCTGCTTCTATGGCCCCTCCCTGCCCTGACGGCTCTGCAACTGGTTTTGAGGTGGGCTCTTTGGAGGTCCTTTGGAGCAGTCAGTGCCAGCTGTGGCAGTAACAAGTGCTGGAAAGCAGGAAACTGCTACATGCAGTGCTGGGTGGGCTGCCGACGTGAGGATTTATGAAAAGGAAAATCTGCAAATTCTTGCAATATTTGTCAAGCTGAGTGTGGTTCATTTTAAACAGCGGCTCTGTTCCCATATGGGAATGATCTTGTCCCTCCTTCTCCCAAGCCCTGAGTACCCTGCCTCGCCCTGGGAACTTCCTGGGGCTGGCTGAGGCCCCCCTCCCCAGCTGGGCAATGCAGACACAGAGAAGGTCTGAGATGGGTTCTCAGAGGGGGCCTCATCCATATCCTCTGAGGGGAACTTGGTATAGACTGCTGGGCTTGCCAGGTTGTGGGCATTTAATTTAGTGCCCAAGCCTCTGACGCTGGGCTATGACACCATTTCAAGCATACTGGCCATAGAAGTATGCATGATAAATAAATAAGTACTGGCTAGCATGTCACCAGGAGCAATTAGAGCTTCAGTCTAGGGGGTAAATCTCTCACACACATAAATACCAAGGGGATGGGCAAACACCACCCCCCTGCCCTCACAGACCCCTGAGAGCACAAGCACAGTTTTCCTGGTAGATGGCTCTCGTATCCTTGCTCTGTCTGCAACTCAGCCTTAAAATGCTGCAGTCTTGGACAGGTATGGACAGGACATCAGCTGTCAATACCAACACTGCGCCAGATATAGGACTCTTCTCTCTAGTTTCCTTATTGAGTAGTTGTTCAGCCTCTGCTTAAACACTTCCAGTGATTGGGGGATTTATTCCCTCTATGAGGTTGTCCATTCTGATTTGGACAAACTCTCTTTGGTGTGAACTGAAATCTGCTACCCCATAGCTTCTGCCCTCTAGTTTTGATCTCTGGAGCCACACTGAATAAGGCTGCATTCTTTATTCCAGGGCAGCCCTTTGTGTATACTAGGAAAGTGCTTGTTGGCTCTTCATAGCTTCTCTTTTTTCTGGCTATTCATCTATAGTTCTGTCAATGGATGCTCAGATGTTCTGATTTCTGAGTCCCCTTATCATCCTCTTACCTTTCTCCAGAAAGCTATTAAAAGACTAGTTTGTCATTGCTCTTTTTGAAGTTCAGGGTGGAACTGAGCACAACACTACAGGTGTGCCTGAGTAGGTCAGTATAGAGTAAGACCATCACCTTCTTTGTACCACACTTAATACTTCTATTAATGCAGTCTAAGGTCACATTAACTTTTGTGGGCACTCGCCATTTTTTGTTACCATCAGTAAGTCTTTCTCCTGGGATGGATGATGAGTCACTTTTTCTGTGCCCCTTGTTTATGCTATTCATTTTCTGGTCTCAAATTCTGGACCTGACTTTTGTTTTATATACGTTTATCCTTTCAGATGTGTCCATATCTTAATCAGGCCCCATTTCTTTGCACCAGACTTCACTGACCAAGTTATTCTTTCTTTCTTTTCTCTACTGCTCTACATACTTAATCAGACCCTTAACGCAAAAGTACAGCAGGTCAGAGCTTGGATGGGCTGTAAATAAATGAAAAATCAAGGTCTTGGTGGGTGGGAGATGAACTTGGGTTCTGTCCTCAGAGTAAGCTTGTTGGGGGATGGGGAGAGATATATTGACCTGAGGCCACTTTGGAAAGCCTGAATTATTCTGAGTTATGGGCCAGACTCAGGACTCCATGAGTTCAGGGGAACAAAGAGAAGCCAGAAAAATACCTCTCCACCCAGCCAGTTTATGCCTTATATGCTTTCATATGAAATTCCTTCCTCTGACTCAGGGTTTTTGCTCATTAAATGGAGAGGCACTGCATTAACATTCCAGGTACTCAACTAGGAACCTGGAGATCTGGGCTTTAAGCTCTGAGCCTCAGTTTCCCTGCTTCCTGCATCCCCATAAAATGATGGGAATGTATTATCAGCAGTTCTTAACCCTTTGGGAGTTAGAGACCCCTTTGAGCCTCAGACAGAAAGTACAGATGTTCTACATGTACACAGAACACTTGGTCCCTTGACTAAGAATGCTAAGATTAGAGGCACTTTGAGAACTTCCTGTCTATAAAGTACATGTTGTGGACGAGCTTGGAACACCTGTACAGGTGTGCACAACATTGTACAGGATGCCCTCACATCCATTCTCCCATTTGCCCTTTAAAACAGCCTCAAAAGTAGGCAGAGGTTGTGTTCCCCACTTAACAGATGAGGAGCTGAGTTAGGAGGCCTCACACCTCATTCAAGGTCAAACAGCTGGTTAGTGGTCTTTAGATAATCAATACAAAGACCAGTCACCATGTCCCATGTCTCCATGTTCTATACATTTTACATATGTCTAAAATTATCATCATCCCTGACCTCAAACACCAAACCTTTGTGAACCTGTGAATTTTGCTTCATTCCCAGATTACCACCATGCCTCTAGGAGCATCTGGACCTATCACCTCTTAGTTCATCCTAAGTTTTGTGGGACTTTCTCAAGGCCACTCAGTGTGTCTTTGTGGAAACTGGGACTAGTACCCGTGGGGTAGGCCGCAGGCATGGGTTGAGCCCCTTCCAGAGAGGTAGGAAGTTGTGCGGATCATTTCCTTTTATTGGGAAGGCAGTTTGCATTAAGCCTAGATGAAACACAAGTGAAACATGCTAACAAAATGTAACAACAGAACAGGTTGTTGGTAGTGGTGATGGGGTGGGGCAGGGCAGGGCAGGGCCCAGGGCCCAGGGCCCTGTAGTGTTTTCCACCAGATCAGCAGTGTGGTCCCGCCTCTGCTGGGTGTTGTGGCTTCTCCCAGTAGGCCACCATGTTTGTGGCCTTAACGTCTTTCCCCAAGTTCAGGCCCTATTTATTTCTTCTTATTTCCTTTCTGTCCTTCCTCAGGAGACTATGTTCAAACAGCGAGTTCAGGTGCTATGAGGGATACAGAGTTGGATAAGGTACTGTTCCTGACTTAAGGAACCTATAGGGATGAAATATGCACATCCCTGCCCTTGAAACGCTTATTAACTAGTGAAAAAGACAGACAGGAATGCGATGAGTGTCACAGGGAGCTGGCTGTGTTGTGGGCCATAATGGAAGTTGGGAAGACCACTTGCATGGGAGGGTAGCTAATGCTGACTCATGGAACCTGGGAAAGCTTCCTAGAGGTGACTGCATTTGAACTAGACTGGAAAGTATGGGAAACATTTGGATGGGGATGAAGAGCACTCCAGGTGGGGGAAAATTGCTTAGTCAAAGGCGTGGAAGTAGGAAAGCATGGGGGAAGGCAAAGGTGCTTGCTGAGCAGACCAGATCACAGGGAGCATAAGTTGGGAATGTGGTGATGGGGTTCAGAGGCAAGCCAGTGTGTGGTACCCAAGGTTGACGTTGGCTTAAAAGCAGCTGCAATGTCAGTGAGATGACTCTGACTCATGTTTGCTTTCTCCCCTTGCACAGGCCATGCCTCTGAAACATTATCTCCTCTTGCTGGTGGGCTGCCAAGCCTGGGGTGTAGGGTTGGCCTACTATGGCTGCCCTAGTGAGTGCACTTGCTCCCGGACCTCCCAGGTGGAGTGCACCGGAGCGCGCATTGTGGCAGTGCCGACCCCTCTGCCCTGGAATGCCATGAGCCTGCAGATCCTCAATACGCACATCACCGAACTCAATGACTACCCATTCCTCAACATCTCGGCCCTCATTGCTCTGAGGATCGAGAAGAACGAGCTGTCCCAAATCATGCCTGGTGCCTTCCGCAACCTGGGCTCACTGCGTTACCTCAGCCTTGCCAACAACAAGCTGCAGGTTCTGCCTGTTGGCCTCTTCCAGGGCCTGGACAACCTTGAGTCTCTCCTTCTATCCAGCAACCAACTGGTGCAGATCCAGCCAGCGCACTTCTCCCAGTTCAGCAACCTCAAGGAACTGCAGTTGCATGGCAACTACCTGGAATATGTCCCTGATGGTGTCTTTGACCACCTGGTGGTCCTCAACAAGCTCAATCTGTGCAAGAATAGCCTCACCCACCTCTCGCCCAGGGTCTTCCAGCGCCTGGGCAACCTCCAGGTGCTTCGGCTGTGTGAGAACAGGCTCTCAGACATCCCCATGGGCACTTTTGATGGGCTGGGCAACCTCCAGGAGCTGGCCTTGCAGCAGAACCAGATTGGGATGCTGTCCCCTGGTACCTTCAACAACAACCGTAACCTCCAGAGGCTCTATCTGTCCAACAACCACATCTCTCAGCTGCCCCCCGGCATCTTCATGCAGCTCCCCCAGCTCAACCGTCTCACACTCTTTGGGAATTCCCTGAAGGAGCTCTCTCCAGGGGTCTTTGGGCCCATGCACAACCTGCGTGAGCTCTGGCTGTACGATAACCACCTCACTTCTATACCTGACAATGTCTTCAGTGACCTCCACCAGTTGCAGGTCCTGATCCTCAGCCGCAATCAGATCAGCTCTATCTCCCCGGGTGCCTTCAATGGCCTGAAGGATCTGCGGGAGCTGTCCCTGCACACCAATGCGCTGCAGGACCTGGACGGAAATGTCTTCCGTACGTTGCTCAATCTGCAGAACATCTCCCTGCAGAACAACCGCCTCAGACAGCTCCCAGGGAATATCTTCGCCAATATCAATGGCCTCATGACTGTCCAGCTGCAGAACAACCAGCTGGAGAACCTGCCCGTGGGCATCTTTGATCACTTGGGGAACCTATGTGAGGTGCGGCTCTATGACAACCCCTGGAGGTGTGACTCAGGCATCCTTCCACTCCGCAACTGGCTCCTGCTCAACCAGGCCAGATTGGGGACCGACACGCTCCCGGTGTGTTTCAGCCCAGCCAATGTCCGAGGCCAGTCCCTCATCATCATCAATGTCAATGTTGCGGTCCCCAGTGTCCAGACCCCAGTGATCCAGACCCCTGAGGTGTCCAGCTATCCAGAAACGCCACGGTATCCGGTCACGCCCAGCTACCCTGAAACCACCTCCATCTCCTACACCACTGAGCTCACCACTGAGGACTACACTGATCTGACCACCATTGAGACCACCGATGACCGCAGCGTAATGGGCATGACCCGGGCCCAGGGTGGGCTGGCCATTGCCGCAATTGTCATTGGCATTATTGCCCTGGCCTGCTCCCTGGCCGCCTGCATCTGCTGTTGCTGCTGCAAGAAGGGGGGCCACGCCGTCCTGATGCAGATGAAGGCACCCAATGAGTGTTAAGGAGGCAGGCTGGAGGCAGGGCGAGGGGTCAGTGGGACCACTAGAGGATCCAGGTGTTTCATCCTTCCACTTCTACCTTCCACAGAGCCATCCTCTGCTCCCTCTCTGTGGTCCCTGAAAGAAAGGTGCCCCCATCTTTTCCTAATCTGCTCTTGCAGGACCTTCTCACGAGGTCCTGTCTAACTGGCCATGGCAAAAACCTTGGAGGGTCTCCAATTCATGTCCCTGGGCTTCCTTCAAGAAAGCTCCTCCTCCAAAGCCTCACCAGCTCTCCTCCAAGAACAACCTTCCCTGCACCTCTGTAGACTCACTTATTGCATGTCTGCTCACTTTGTGGGAACAGTTCTCTACCGGGACAGGCCTTCTCCCAAGTATTCTGTAAGTTGATTCTCCTCTTTTTGCTCCTCTTGTTTGTAGCATGGCTCCACCCTGTCCCCTCAAATGAAAATTCTCCCTTGATTTTCTGCTCCTGAAGGCAGGGTGAGTTCTCTCCTCAAAGAAGGTTTCAAACGATTTAGGTGGTTTCTTAAGAACTGCCAAGTACCCTGGCTCTCAGGATGCTATGAAAGAGAGAAGGAGAGAGGATGCTGCTCCGTTCCTGGAGATAGAGAGCCATCATCAGTGTCTCTCCCATGATTTTTATCTGGAAAAGGAAGAAAGGCACCAGTGCAACCAGTTCAGCCTTTTAGAGAATATTTCAAACTGCAAACTTTGCTTTAATTTTTTTTAGTCCTTTAAGGAATAAAATCATGTAGAATTTCTGACCCCTAAAAATAGTAGAATCAACTTACTGGTGCTGGATGGAGAAAGCAACCTGGTACCCAGGGGGTGGGGGTGGGGGTCCTTGTGTTCACCCCAGGTTTTTTCTCTTTTAACTGTTTATTGAAGTATAACATACACACAGAAAAGTGGGAGCATGGGAGTGTATAGTTTGATGGATCTTCACAAATTGTACACACCCGTGTAATGAGAATCCAGATCAAGAAATAGGACATCACTAGTATCCTCCATCCTGGGCTTTTTTTTTTTTNACACACACACACACACACACACACACACACACACACACACACATGCACACATGCTCTTCACCTCGTTCTTCAGCCCCTGGACAAACACCTCCAGAGACAGGAAAATCACCATCAGCCAAAGCAACTCCTTTCATCCTTGGATAACCCTGGGATGAAAGTGTTCCTCTACATATTGAGCCAAGTCTTTCTCCCTTTTAACTCATAAAGGGTTTAGAAAGTTAGTTTGTCAAACAAACAAACAAAATAAAACAACAAACCCACAACCCTCTTAGAATTACTCCTGGCGTTGAGAGCCAAGCAGGTGCTTGTGGCTGCGTCTCTTTCTGAGGCCAGGCTCCCTGGAACCAGCCTGGCCTTTTGCAAGGAAGGGTGTGAACGTGGACCCCTGGTCCCAGTCCTCACTCCTGGAGTGGCCTACTACGAACTTTCTATGGCCTGTTGGGTGCCCCGGGGGTCCTAAAGTTGCCAATCCTATGACCTTAACTGGATTTTGGCCCTATTTGGGATCTGTCTATGGGAGCAGTTCAGGATTGTTTTGTAATCTCCAGAGGCCTTGCCCCAGATTCCCTCCTGTCCTGTGACCCGGTGACATTCCGGGAACACTCAGGCCACGTGAGGGGAGGAACTACTTCCTGGAACTTTGATCAGTGCCAGGCTGCTGGGTCCGCACTGACCACAGACCACACCAGACACCCTTCTACTCCTGAGGAAGAACCAGGGCAGCGGTAGGTCTCCCGAGGCCACTCTAGGACTCTTGGGTCTGTGGGGATGTGGGAGGAATCTCTCTTGGCCGGGGACAGGAGAGGTGCTGGTCATTTCTGGCAGGCTTCAGAACATGTCCTAAACACCAGGCAGGCTGCAGTTTCTGTGTCCCATGCCTTGGGAGGGGAATCCCCTGAGGTATTCTGCCAGGGTACTGCTGGGCTGAGAGGCAGAAGGCAGGTTGAGGTAGGGGGGATTCCAAGGTAAAGATGACCTGGTTCCTGTACTCAGGGAGCCCATAATGAATGGTGGACATAAGCAGGGTGACCATTGTCCAGGTTTGTCTGGTTCCACCCTAATTTGTGCATGTTATCCTGGCATGATTATCAATAGCTCTCTTTTTATTTCCAGAAGAGTTCCAGTTTAGATGATAAATTTTATCCCTAGTCACTCTAGGAATAAAATGTGCATGCAGCTACCTTTTATTGAACATTTACTATTTGCCAGGCACTGTGTTAAGTGCTTTATATTTGCTATCTAATTTAATATATTTATCATCCAACTGAGTACTAATTTTAGCCCTATGGGATGGGGTTGTAATTATGGATGGGGAAATGGAGGATTAGGGAGGTGGAGTGACCTGCCCAAGCCCACACAGCGAGTAGGTATTGTATCAAAATATGATCTCTACTGAGCAGGATGCAGAGTAAGACCTGAGAGTCAGGGTCACCGGAACCATGAACACATTCTGTTCAAATCAGCACACAGGGCCTGGGCACCTTCTCTGTGCTCAGCCCCAAGCCAGATGCTGGGGTGCACGGCCAGGTAGAAGAGACTGCAGGGCTCACAGTCAGGTGGTGCAAACGACTAGAGCAGAATGACCCAAGTGGTCAACAGAGCACATGAGTGACCTGCAGAATCTAAAGGAGGTGCAGTCAAGGAAGGCTTCCTGGAGAAGTGACAAGTGATGGCCTGGGGGGTAGGTAGAATGGGGACAGGTAGCAACAGGGAAAGGTAGGTACAGGCATCCTAAAGTGGGAGGGGCTGTGTAAGCAAGGGCTAGAGCTGGGGCCCTGCAGAGAGCATTTGAAGAAAGGACAGTGCCCAGTTTTTATTTATTATTATTATTTTATTTTATTGGGGAATTGGGGAAGGGGAACAACTTTCTTCAATCTTAGCTGTGGAGGGCGCAGCTAGCTCAGCTCCAAGTCCAGTCGCCATTTGGCCGTCCGTTGGCAGCTCGCAGCTGCTCAGCTCAAGGTGCTGTGTTCAATCTTAGTTGCGGGGGTGGGGGGCTCAGCCCAACGTCCCATGTGGGAGTCAAACCGGCAACCTTGTTAAGAGCGCACGCTCTAACCAGCTGAGCCATCCTGCTACCTGTTGGCAGCTCAGCGGCAGCTCAGCTCAGGCTGGGAATTGAACTGGCGACCCTGTTGCTCAGAGCTCATGCTCTTGAGCGAGCTGTTAACCAACTGAGCCACTTGGATGGCCCTCATCCTGGGCTTTTACTGGAGAAGACTGGGGCTTATGGAGATGACATGGACTTACCCGGGAACTGGCTCCCCACGAGCCAGGACAAGCTCCCCACTGTCCCTCCACACCAGTCAGCCCTTGCCAAGGTCCAGCTGCCAAGGGTGGAAGAGATGTGGGTACACCCTGGGCTGGACAAAAAGGATTTTATTAAACCTCCAGACCCTGAGGCACCGTGATTGACCAGGTTAGAAGCATCTTGACTACAGAGGCGCGTGCAACCACACACCCTTCCTTGCCAACAAGCTGTCTGCTTCTCATTGGAGGCCCTTCTGCCTGGGCCTTTTATGGGCATGATATGCCTATATCTGTTTTTAATTTTTGCTCACCATTTGGGGGAAGTGAAATACCTCAGAGATGAGATCCTTTAATTGAACAGCCAAGTGTAATGGAACCCAGCAATCCCTCGAATGTGGTGGTAAAATTCTTCATGAACATTATAGTCAGCTAGAAACTGAACTTCAGAATTCTTATATACAGCAGGAAATATCAGGGTAGACAGATAGGTCACACTGGGTCTGGGGGCTTTCTGGAGCTCCTCCTGCCTGTGGTCTGTTTATAAGAGTTGAATTGTTGGGTCCAAAGTTATTCTCCACCTTGAGTGACAGTTACGTGAATACCTGCCCTTGCCACTCTTCCTGCTACACACATATCCACACTGGTAAAGAAATTATGCTTATGGCAACTCATATCTTTCTCTGGACAACTGGTCTACCATTTAAGAAGTAAAAGTTCTAAATGGAGACTTTTAGGCATCCACGTCTGCCCTGTAGCCAGAAAAAGCTGTAGCCAACACTATAAAGATTTGGAAATTTGCCATCAATCCTGACTGGCTTTTACTAGTCCTCTCTGCCCCACAAAACAAGTAAAGGAATCCCCTGAGACCTTAGCAGCATAATGCTGATAGGCCCCCAACAAAAAAGGTCCAAGAAGGGATGTGTGTAAGAACTAGTGCTCTTGGTAGCTTTTCATTCTCTAAAAGGCATCATCTCCTTAAGGTAAATCTGGGTATCCAAAATTTTTTCAAAATAATTTTAACAACAGGTGGACATGAACCAAGGCTTGCCAGGGCCCAAGAGGAATTGAGCTCAGAGCTTGGGGCATGGGCACCGTTCCAGTCACGGTGGCCTGCCATATTGACCCGGGGCCAGAAGGGGACGCCTGGCCTGCTGTGCGCCAGACAAGAAGCACGTTTGGCACTGCATTCCTCAAGGTGCCCCTTATGAGCCTGTTCCAATGTCTCCTTGTGCAAAAGCACAAGTGGGCCAGAGATGGCAGAGAGGTGAGGAAAGAGTCCTCTTCATCCAGTGTGCCCTGCCAATCTGAACCCAGAACTCCTGGGTGTTTCCAGCCTTGGCCATGACATTGGAGTACCCTCCTCTCTGGCACACCATATGGACATGTGTCCCCAGGCCAAATGCTGGCTTGAGGAAGCTGTCCCCAGGTAACACCACTGCCAGGAGCACTTCATGTGGACCCTTTACCTGACCGTCTGACTTGCCTGTTCCTTTTTTCCATCAGAGTGCTTGGATTCAGGCATCGGGCCTCTTTCTCGACAAGTCCATTTGCCTCTCTGAACCATGTTGTCTTGTCAGGGAGCTGCCAGAAAAGCTGGGTGGGAAGAAAACTCAGCCCACTATGGTGGGAGAAAGGAACAGTTGGAACCACTATTTTTCAAAAATGCTTACTGTCTATAGCTACACTTTAAAGCACTCAACAGACATTTTCTTTTGAACC